AGAACCAGTTTACAAACCACATGACATTACCTCACAGATTTATGGTCACATTGTCCTTCAGACCTCACACATTACGTAGATCAATCATTAAATTTGATTCCAAAAGTGTTTAAGCCCAAATTCACTCCCTAAAACAAAGATTCTTAATCATTTTGTGTGTATGTTGAAACCCTGCCAAACCGCACACACAAAATACACAGAACAGTTTGTGCAGGAATCTCTGGATTCTTCAGTTTAAAAACTCCTGGGCTTCCTAGAATTATAGAAATTCAAATAATGTACTTACAACAGATTTGAAGGCAATCATTCTCTGAGTATAAGCAGCAGTCTACTTGTTTAGTTTCTCAAGAGAATTGCTTTGGAGGAATCCAAACCACGACGGGAGTGATGGTGTGCTATGAGTGTTTAAGGATTAGAGTCCATGAAAGTCAAACAGGGTTTGTCACTTCCATAGCTGCAGAAGTTACTCTGTGCGTGTGTGTGCGTGTATGTGTGTGTGCACACACGTGCAGATGCATGTGTGTGATGCTCATTGTAGCTGCATCTGTCTCTCCAGGTGTCCACCTTCAACTCCAATTCACCTTCAATAGCCACAGCCTTAGGACACGTCAGTTGCCCTAGACATCCACCTGGTTGCAAGAGCTGGAGAATGGCACTTGGCTGCTTGGGAGGAGTCATATATGCAAGAGGACTGGGCACTTACATGGATGTTACTCTGAGAGAAAGGTGGAATTTATTATGATAGTCTTAGGTGCCAAACACTGTTAGGAACAGACTGTTCATTTAATACTTAAATTCCCTAGAAAGCATTATTGTTCTCATTTTATAGTTGGGAAAATTGAGATAGAAAAGTTAACTACTTTATAAGGTTGAAGTCAATTAGTAGTAGAGCCTGGATATAGATTCAGATTTGATTTCCAAAACCCAAGCTCTTTTTGCTGACTGGCATGGTCGCTCATTCCTCCTGGCCTATGACTTGCTTTCATACACCTCTCCTTGGAAATGAAACCCATTTTGTACCTCAGGAAGGATTCTGAATCTAGAGACAGGATTAAGGCCTACTTGCTCGTATTACTAACCTCATGACCCTGTCAGATGTCTTAAGTGCCTGGTTCCAATTTTCTCATCTGTAAAAGGAGGGGATAGGATTAATTGCCACTTCCAACTGTAAAACTCAGTGACTGAATTCTTTGTACTCACCCCTCTCCCCAGCTAACAGGCCTTCCCATCCTGTGGACTACTCCCAGCTCTCCTCTACTGCATAGCCTTTTCTGACCTCGAGCTAGACATATGCTCCACTGAGACACGTACCACTTGTCCATCGTCTCCTCACCTAACTCATCTTACTCATTCTCCTTCCATATCTTATCTGAATGCATCTGAATGCCTCACATATTTTAACCCAGAGTATTCTTAATTATGAACAAGCCACAACGTATGGTTTAATTTCTCCAGGAGAGACAATTGGTTGTTTCCATTTTTTTTCAGTGTTGTGATCAGTACTCTTTCATTTGCTTGCTTATGTACATAGGAAGTTTCTAGAGTAAGTGTCCAGAAATGGAACACTGAACCATAGCCTTAGGGCACTGGATGTTGCCAAATTCTTCCCCAAAGGAGTAGCACCTACACATGCTTCCACTAGCAATGGAGAAGTGTGGGAGTTCCTATCAATAACTACCAGCTTAAGTATTTTCCAAGCTAATACTACAGCTGCATTTCTCAGGGCAGCACACTTTCTTTGTATATTTATATCATCTCCCCGAAGAGGCTCTGAACTTCATGAGTACAGAAGCCTGGCTTACTTCATTTTTATATTCTTCCATGAAATTTGTCGAGCTTAGTTTTAAGTACACAAGGAGTTGTAAACGAATACAAAACAAACAGAATTCATTCATCTTGACCCAGGAGACAGGGAGTTCTATGAGGGAAGGGATGAAGTTTTCTATACTTACTAATCTGGGGTGAAGATGTCAGAGGGAATACCAAAAACTGCAGAGGTAATCTGCATGGCAGTCACAACTGTTCTATAGACCAAAAGGAAGAATGTACTGGGAACTGTGACCAATCAGCTTTAGATAATTTTTTAAAGGTACGTGATTCATTGGATATTTGACTGTTGTGCAGAACCATCTTCCCAGTCTTTGGAGCATCTTTATTAAGTACCAAGAGGCTGGTTTCTCAATGGAATGTCTCCACCCCTGGTCCAGACCCACTACAAAGTGTTGGGCAGAATCCATGTCTCTTGGACTAGGCTTTCTGTATGACCTATGGTAAGCAATCTTCCCTTTTTGTCACCCCAACAGTTTCTCCAGGCTGACTCATTTTCTAAATAAGCTACTTGTGGTTTTGGTCTGACATCACATATGGAAGATGAATAATTTTTTTAAGAACCAAAATTATATTTGAGCAGAATTAAGACATGGTGTATGTTACTCATGGTCTTAGGACAAGGGGTCAACACTGGCAACAAGTTCTCTAACCTTCCCCTAGGTCAGGGGGTACAGTGAAGGAAAAAGATGGACATGGGTAAGAAGAATTTTTCATGTATACCTTATTTTGTGATCATACTATGAAAATTTGATAAAATTATTCCTTATTGCCTCTGCTAGATAAAATAAAATATAACAATGTAACTAAGACTGTATGTCTTAGTTTTATTGCTTGGATTGGTTGATTGATTATTGATTTAATGTGTATGTGCATGTGTGTGAACCTGAGTGTGGCAGTCCCAGGTTGATTGCTCTCCGCCTTATATACACTGAAGCAGGGTCTCTTGCATTTCAGCTAGTTTGGGTGGCCAGTTTGCTCTGAGGATTCTGTCTCTGCCGCCCACGTGCTGCCATTATAGGCAGGCTGCCACAACCCCCTGCCTTTTACATAGGTTCTGGGGTATCTAAATTCCAGTCTTCTTACTTGTTCAATAAGTGCTTTACCCATTGAACCATCTTCCCAGCCCCTATTGTTTGTGTTTAAATCCTAGTTCCACTATTTGACCAGCTGGACGGCCTTTAATGAATTATTGAATTTGATATGCCTTCATTTCTTCATGTGTAAAATTATAATAGTACTTACCTCACAGAAAATAAGTTGCTTTAAGTGCTTATAATTGTGTCTGGAACTTAATAAGTACTATAGACGTGCTAGTAAATATTTCTTTGAATTTATCATAATGTTTATGCTTATAGTAACTGCTCAATATATGCTTTTGACTAAATGAACACACTCTATTACAATGTACTTGGAAATAGAGGGACAGAACATGGATAAATGGAAGCCTTTTTGCTCTAAAGTTGTCCAGAAAAAGCTAGTTTAAAATATGCCATTTTGGCATGCTAGTTATTTTGAGCTCAAGACAGTTGGCAACAAGAGGTACAGGGAGGGTTCTCTGACCTCCTCCTTTGTGCCCGAAGAAATTAAAACTCTCATGTGGAAAGTGCTCACCCCAGAGACCCATACAAAAAAAGAGAACATTTTTATTACCATAGACAGGCAATGAATCTATACAAACAAAACCTCACTAAGATGGGTGACCCTTCTTTTCCATCATTTCCCCATGTATATCTTAAAGTTTCTTTTCCACAGTTCATTGGCTTTAGGTGAAACCCCTTTGTATTGGGGGCATCTTCACAATTTATCACTTATTGTTTAAATTGGTGTACATTTTGCATCTAACAGCTTCTTTGGGTCTTCTTAAGAAACATTAAATTAAATAAAACACATTCGCTAGCCTGGGATGTAGGCAGAGGTATAGTGCTTGCCTAGCATGAGTGAGGCCTTGGGTCCCATCCCCAGGAGAGAGAGAGAGAGAGAGAGAGAGAGAGAGAGAGAGAGAGAGAGAGAGAGAGAGAGATTTCTGTTCTATCTTATGTTAGTTTCATTCTCAGATCTGGCTACAGAAGAGGGCAAAAAAAAGTTTTGCCCCAGTTGGAACCAGAAGGAACCTTGAGGATAAGTTATACTTTCCTTGCCTTTTATTTGGGGGTCTGTCCCTTAGGTATGTGTATTGTGCCAGGAAGGTTACTCCCCCATCCAGGTGCCATTCAGTATGAAGTTCTACTTCCTGTCTTACCTCTCTCAGTCCTTAGACTCTGAAAATGTGGGGTGTGACTCAGAAAAGACCTGGTACTACAGAAATTCATTCTCTGACCTCTCAGTTTCGACTGCTTGTGAGGAGGAGTAGTGAGACAGTGGTATTTTAAAGAGTGTTATCTGGTTGAGTTTGTAGGATAGGTATTACATGTAAAAAATTATGGAGATAAAATGTTAATATATTGATTTTGGAGACAAGGTCTCACTATGTAGCTTTAGCTGGACTGGAACTCATTGGACCAGGCTAGCCTTAAACTCAGAGATCCACCTGCTTCTACCTCCCAAGTGCTAGGATTAAAGGGGTGTGCTACCAGGCCCAGCTCTGATTTTTTTTTTTTCTTTTTATCCATGTAGATGTGGTGTTTAGAGCGCTTGTAGTCTTTGGGAACATCCTCGGCGAGTCATGAAGAAGTTAAAGTGAAAATCCCTCAGAGCCCATCCTCAGTAGCAGGCCTTCAGGGATGCCTGAGCTACAGTTGTGGGACCCTGTTCATCAGAGCAGGTTGCTCCAGCTTTGTTGGTCCTACCATGTGGGTCTGAGCTGAAGAGCTTGATGACTGGCCAGAAGAGTGGGTCTAACTTGGCTGATATGGAATCAGGGCATTATGCTTATTGAAGGCTGCAAAATTCAATAAAATAGGTGGAAATGCTGAGTTGCTGAAGGAAGATCAGCTGCTCTGGAGGAGAGAGATCCACTAGGGAGCTGTCAGGAGGTTTGCTATGCAGCCATACAGGACAGACACATTCTCGACAAACTCCTGCACACAGACATGTGCACCCACTATCACACTCACACACGCATTGATTGACAGCAGCTTCACTCCTGGATTTCTTACTCCCTGCTCACAAACACACCTGCATGCCCCACGTATCTGCTCAGCCTAAACGGGAAACCTCATGGCTGAATCCAATGCTGGTTAAGCTGCTGCTTTTATTACACCAAAGGTCTTGACATTTATTAGGTGAGGAACACAAAGATTGGTGTACTGCTGTTATAGTGGCATGCATTCTTCTCTACAGTGCAACTTTGGAAGGTCAAGGTCACTGCAGCTCACACCAAAGAACTGCCCTCCCGAGGGGAGAAAGGAGACTCTGCAGATCCTTGTTCTCTTGTTTCAGCAGACTCAAGGCATTTCACCACCACAGCAGTCTAGGAAGCGCAGGGCTTGGGTGAGTGTGCTTTCAACGGGTGCCACAGGGGATCCAGGTTTGGGGAAAGTTCCTAAAATGTAGAGCCAACAGTGCTTCTACGTATGTATATGCTTCCCACAGGTAGCACTGACTACAGGGGCATGCTGAGCACTGCATCTGAACTGGGTTAGGCTGTCAGGAGTCCTTAATTACAGAGATCCTGGCTTCACAGGGAAGAATAAGACATGACGGCACTGTCACAGTAAGGCCACTAAACTCACAGCAACGATGAGTTCAGGAGGAAACTCCTGTAACTACAGGGAAGCAGCTCTTTGCTCTCTGATGCCTGGTGCCTCTTGGGGTAGGCACCCTCCCTGAGCCTATCACATGGTCATTTCTGGGCTGCATAATTCACTGAGCACAACAGAGCAGAGGAAGGGGTCACACAGCAAGTCATGGGACACTGCCACCAAACATGGTGGATTGTTGTTGGTGAATGTCTCAGATGCCTTTCCTGGTTGGGCCGCATGCCCTCATGTGTCTGAAGGGCTAATCTGAAAAGAGGCTGGCAAAGGACTTCCTCAAGCTCCGGATGGTCTCGGCTTTGGCTTCATCCTCATTGGCTGAAGACCGGAAGAAGGAGGACTCAGAGAAGCTGAAGGCATTTGTCAGGGACTGCGACTTGCTTGAAGATAAAAACCAGAGAGAACATGAAAGGGGGGTGTTCTCAGTGAGGCAGAGGAGGACAGTGACAGGAGGGTGGACAACAAGAACCCCCCACTCCCACCCCAGAGGGAATAGGGTGACAGGAGGAAGTTGGAAGTGGCTGTGTACTAGGCACTGGGAAGCCCCTATGCTAATTCCTCACCTCCAGTGCTGCTGAATCAAGAAAGGATGCAGGCAGCATAGGGACCAGGGAGAAGGGGAAAAGAGAAGGGAAAGAGGAAGAAAGGGTGACTCAAAGGCTGTTTCTTTTATTTAAGTCTAAAGGTTATGAATCAAGGAATCTGACACCCTTTTCCTCTGATGAGATCAGCACTTGTGGGCTCCTAAACTCCCTTTTCAACTGTCAAGTGGTGGACTGATCAATGGAAGACCTGGGGCAAAGTCTTGACTCTGCCACTTACTCATGTCTGGCCTCAGGGTAGCCCTGTGGTACCCTGGCCCTGAGTTTTTCATGTGTGGCATGAAGATTCTGGTTAAGTGATGGTCTCTGGGTTCTTTTGATTCTTCCTATTCTCTATTCTTATTCCAAAGGGATCTTTGGCTTGATCCCAAAAGTCTAATACTTCAATTTCCCTGTTCTTGAATTTCTTTTTTGAGATAGTGTAGCTACAGATATAGTTCAGGCTGACCTTGCACTCCTTGTGTAAAGGATGACCTTGAACTTCTATGTCCCAAGTGCTGGGACAGGCATTACACCATGCTCTACACAGTGCAGGGATCAAGTCCAGTGTTCTGTGCATGTTAGGCAAGCACTCCTCCGTCTCATTTCCCTATTCTTAATGTGGCACAGTCACTCTTGTAGCTTTCCTCAGAGGAACCCTAACATGAGGGCTGTGGGGTTCAGGTGCATTAGGGTAAAAGAGACACATGTAAGACCATGTTTATTAAGTAGTATTCTAATGAAAAAAAGAAACTCAAACTAGACACACAAATTTTTAGGAGCTTATTTTTTCTTAGCAAGTGATTCAGGAAGAAAAAATACAAAGGTTAAAAAGGGCTGTGGGGAGGTCAACACCATAGTGCAGGACACACCACCACCAGGTCTAGCTTCCCTAGTGGCCTGGCTTGTCTCCTTGATTCCTATTGGGTCTCTTTCCCAGTGTTTTCTGGCTCCAGTACTCTTCTGTGACTTCCATCCCTTTCCTAAATGCTGGGTGCAGCCAGGAAAGTCCCATCTATGCAGCATTCTCTCCTCCCACAGGAACTGTGGACAGGTGTCCTGTCTTTCATTAGGGCTGGGGATGAGCCCTGGCATGCTGGCCTCTGGGAAGGGGACTCTTCTGCATGTACAGACAGAGGGCACCAGCTTGTAGTCAGAGGCTGGCTCTGCTCAACAGCTTCAGCCCAGAAGCAATGACAACCCAAGGATTTTTCCCTTACACTGGGGCTACTAGAGCAGGGAGGAAGATCCAAAGCAGCCTGTAGAAACTGCTGGACCAGGCGATGACACTGTTGGTCAGACAGAAGCAGCTCTACTGGCTGGAGCTGGTGAGCAAGAAGGGGCCTTGTCCCTTCTGTTATGTATGTGACCACGGGCATCCCAGCCCCAACCCTGACCCTGCCACTAACTAGAGAAGTGGCTATGAGCGAAATCTCCTCCTGTGTGCACTGACTCTCAAGTGCTCACCTGAACTCTGCAAGCCCGTGCCCCTTTCATGGTCCTTGAAGACTCCCTTATTCTATCACAACTAAGATGGAGTTGACGGAGGGTGGCTCACTCCCATGCCCCTGAGGCTGCTGCTTTCTCTGAGTGGTGAGGGAGTCTGCAGAGGATACTGAAAGTAGCACGGTGTTCTGGAGAAGGGGTGGAGCTGACTGTACCGGGCTGTCCTGAGAACAGAGCTATGCTTTCTTGAGGCTCTGTGCAGTTCTCTGCAGCAGGACAGTGTGCAGGGGTCTCTAGCTTGACTGTTGAGCATGAGGGGACTCAGTAGATGGAGGGACTTTGAGACTTCTGTCTGGAACCATCTTTGTTGTCCATATTTCCTTCAGATAGAGATGAAGGTAAAAGTTGAGATGGAGCTAACTACTTCTCCCCTTTCCTTCTGAGCAGCCTTGTTGATAGCACACCCTGAGCTTCAGTCGGAAGCAGGAAAGACTTTTTAAAAAAAATTTTAGAGGGAGACATACATATTGAGAAAGGAACAGAAAAAAGAGTGGGAGATGGGGCTAAGAAACAAAAACAACCAAACCTCTAGGCTGTGGATAGAACAGTGACTACTGTAGTGTTACCTGAAGCGCTGCTATTCCTTGGGCAGAAGGGGAGGGGTGAGCAGCTAGCTCCACCTTGGACTTTCATTCCCTTCTTTCCTCCCCTCCCAAGGCAGTCTAACCATTCTTCTCACAAAACCACACAACACAAAACTCACAAACACAAAACAACCAAAAAATAAATCACAAAATATCCGTAGCAAGAGAATGCTTGAATGCACTTTCTAGTGGTTCTGGAGCCCAAGGCCATGAGGAGGGGCAGGAAGAGGGGGAGGGAAGAGCTGCTGAGTTGTCTCTTACTTGAGCTGTGGGTGAGGCTGGGGCTTCTGTGGCGGAGCAGCCGGGGGTGGCTGGGCCTCTGCCAGGGTGTTGCTGCTGGAGGGTACATCTCCGTGGGTGGTGGTGGGGCCGCCCGGCCTCTGAGGAGCCGAGGAAGAGGAAGAAGAGGAGGAGGAAGAGGAAGAAGGTGGCAGTGATGGTCCAGAGGGGAGCCGGCGTGGAGGCAGCACCTTGCCTGGGGGCTGCATTCCTTGGGGTTGCCCAGGGCCCCCTAGGTTCAGTACAAGAAAAACTTCATAATTTAACCATATCAAAGGTTTCCTTTGTAGAATCTATGTCTCAAAGGGTGTGGTTAGTTAATTACCAAAAGGATAAGTTCTATTATAAATAGCTACCCAGCTCTGGAGGGCTCTGAAGGGGTCTTCCCCCACTCTTATACATCACCAGTGTTTGCTCTTCCTCAGAGACTCAGCAACTTAGTCACAGCAGAAGTCAAGAGGACAGGGAAGAAGGCACAGGCTGAGCAAGCTCCACACAGGGAGAAGCTCCCTTACAGAAGACCTCCAGATCAGAGGAACCCTCCCACTTCCCAGAGGGCCTCAGATATAAGCTACTGTGCTCTAGAGCTGCTCCACCTAAGGTGCAGGAGAAGGAAGTGAGGCAAACACTGGAGCAGGAATCAGAAAGCCCAAGAAGTAATCAGTGATGTCCCCCCCACATACACCCCCAGCAAGATGTCAAGCTTCTCAGGGTCTCAGTTTCTCTAATCATAAAACTACTTTAGAAGTAAGCCCTACTATTAGTTATCTTTCTAAGACAGTAGTTGTTTCAAAGATGACAATGGATGAGAAAGTTGTTCAAAAAGTATTCTATGCCTTAGGATCACCATCAGTGACCATTTACCAACATCATTTCCACCGAGCTGCCCTTCATCCCACTCCAAGCCTCCAGGTGTTTGATTACTACACCCACCTCACCTGGGCTTCGCTGGAGTATTAACTCCCACAACCAGGATCAATCCTTTCTTCCCAGGCACTCTTTGAATCTGAGTGCCATCCTCAGGGGCACCAGCATGACAAACCACTCAGGTGTGTGGGGAAATTCTCCAGACATACATTCCCCAGTCTCCCCCAGGGATGTTGTGGGCACCATCTGGCAAATAGCCCCTTTAATAAGAACCAGCAGGACCAGCATACCTTTCTCCCAGTATAAGACACAGAACCATCATATGGCCTGGAGAGAAAAAAAGTTCTCCTTTGTCTAGGGGGTAAAAGGCAAAAATTGTGGTAGCAACTTATATTTTGCAGAAGGGGATTCCTATACTCAGAAGTCAAAAGATGACCCCATAGAAACACACTGACAAGTGGAAATGACTCCCAGTTGGCCTGGAAGATCCAGTTTCTCAACCCCAGAATTCATATTCAGGGGCTGCTAAAGCTAAGTGTTTCTGTTATTTAGTTTCCTAGAAACACCAGAAGACCTATCTATGTCCTCTGCAGAGGCAGAAGTATGTCTATGCTACTGTGTACCCATGATTATCTGTTCATTTTTTCCTTCTACACAGCATGGGCTCCCCTTTATCATCGATAATCAATTAACAGCAGGGTGAGTTACACATTAATACATACATAAAATATGTAGGTTTCTGCATGTTTAAGAAGTTCCAAGTCAAATCAAGCAACTAGATCTTAGATTAGCAGATTATTTTACGTTAATCAGCATCTGTCTTTTCCAAAGTCTGACATCAAGACTATTATTTTATTAGATTACTGTGTTGACATTTTCCTGTAAAGTAATTCAGGTTGATAGCTCAGCCTCTTTTACCACAAACCTGAAGTGCTTTCCCACCTGTACAGAGATAATTGAATAGCCAGAAACTTTACAACTTAACACTGAAGACATATAACTTTTCCTTTATTGCACATTAAGCTGTACAAGAGAATCACAAAAGAGAGGTACTTCAATCACACTTCCAGCATTGGCTGAGGATCTCCTGCTGGATCAGTACAAAAAAAAGGTGTGGGGGACAACATCAGAAAAGAAATGGGTACAAAAACACCTGAACACAAATCCTACACTGTGACAAAAGTGTCCCCCAGGCCACAGAGTTGTCCCTTAGCATGCTGCCTGAGGGCACAGGATAGTCAGGTGATGCTGCCTGCTTGAGTGTGGCAGTGGGAGTAGTAATCAGCCTCTAACTCCCACCTGAGAGGCCTTGGCTGACACCATCCTGTAGCCTGACTGAATTCAAATGGCAACTTTGTATTTGTGGCTCACATGAAAAGCACCTGGATGTAACACACTGATAACATGCAGAGAAGCAACACCATCAGCTCACCACTGAACAAAAAAAAAACAGAAAAAAAAAAACCCACAAAAAATGTATTCCTCCATTCTGGGAAATGTTCCTTCATTCCCTTCTATTATTTCATCAGACTGGGAGGTATTTAAGGAACTGATTCTTATCAGCCCACCTGGAAGTGCATATATGCATATATCTATATATTTACAACTGACTGACTACCAGCATCATCTAAGGGAGGGGTCACAGATGAAAGCAGTCACACTGTATACATTTTTCCATAGCCTCAGAATTTTTCAGAAACCAAAGGAGAAACAAGGCATGTGCCCCTTGATACATGTTCCATACTCCTAACAGTACTCACTCCTCAGACCTGGTAGTCCAGAACTGGGCCATGTCAGCACAGAGGTGGGAGGGAATGTAAAAGTAGAGCCAGAAATATTTCTTCTAAAAGGCAAATTGCCAGCATAAGCTCATAAATGGGCTATGGGACTAGAGAAGGCCACTTGATACCCATTCCAGCCCTGCCACAGGTGGCAAGATGAGGTACTGACCCCCAGGGTTGGTTTGATTAACTGCCACATTATCTTCCCAGATGCTGCTTGTTAAAAGGAGGGCACACTGATGAGGGTTCTCCAGTTGTGGAATCTCTTTCTCGACACGCACATTTAAGCCAGCTCTTTTCAGAAAGCTCTGCATTCTTGGTCCTCTGAAGAGGAGGCAGCCGAGAACTGAACTGGTCAACACCTCAGAGCTCTGCAGTGTCCCTCTCAGGTGACATGGGGCATTTCTCATTTGGTCTCATGTTATGAGGCCTTGGGAATAGTCAACTCCTTTTCAGATAGTCAGTAGTTCCCTGCATTCTCTGTCCAACACTGCTGAAGAACATCTCTGTACATAGGTCAAACTTTGGGGAATACAAAGCAGCCCCAGTTCCATAGCGCACATATGGCTGGTTCAGAAACAGCAACAAAGAAGAAACAAGTTTGGGGACTGAAGTCAACACACAGAAAATGCTCACAAGATCACTTGGATATTGCACATTGGCGGCCCCGTATTTTTGTTTTTAATCTTGTAGCTATTTCATAATAAAAACGGAGGGTACACAGGGATGTAAAATGCAGAACACATTCCTGAAGTAGCTTGTTCTTTCATCACTGAAAACACGAGAGCTCTACAGGCACAGCCAGCCTATTCACACAAACTCAAACTGCACCAAGTCTCAGCAAATGGAGAAAAAGATGGATGCCTTCAAATTCAACAAATGAAGCTGTGAGAATTAGACTTTGAAAAGCTCTAAGAGTTCTATCTATTTGCCCTAGTCATGCAGAAAGGAAGCAAAAGCACAGTTCACTGAGAATCCCAAGCACACTCATGGAGGTAAGTGGGAGGGTGTGAGTCTGAGCCTGGGGGAACAGGAGGAGAGGGGGGCTGTTATTTTTGTGGTGGCTGTTTCTCCCTTGTCCATCCTGGTGCTCCCATCTCACCCCTCACTATGTAATACTTTAAAAATAGGATCACACCACCCAGAAGATAGTCCCACTGGACTGAGGAGAGGCACGATTCTTTTGTACACTGTGGACAAACAGCCCTGGAATCACAAGTTATACAGAGGAACGTAAGTGAGCATTACAAGCACAAACAGGAACAGGTAAACAACCAGATAGAGGAGCTGACACTGCATAGGAAAAACACAGTCCAGTCAGCACTGAGAGAATGCAGCAATGGCACCAACTGGAGGGTCTGTTGCCCCCTCCCCTCTTTCCTTTCTTTTCTCTTCTTTTTGTTTTTGGCTTAAATTTTCTGCTTTGAAAAATTAACTACCAATCACTCTAAGAAGCTTGGACCTGTTTTGGCCCTACTGCAATGCCATTACAGTCGAGAATATACTGTAAACAACCTTGGGGGGGTGGCCGCTGAGGTGGGGTCTTGCTGGAGTCCGGATCTTTAAGTGTTCCACTCTGGAAGACAAAAACACAAGAGATAAAAACAAAACTCCAAGTACATTCCAAAGAGAAACTGGCTCTGTGGTGAGGCTGCAGTAGAGTCTGCTGGGATCTCATCAGAACACCTGCTGTTCCACATATACCTTCAAGGATCCTCAGCCTCTGGGGCTGCTGCTAGTCAAGGAGTGGGCAGTGTGGGGCTTGGAACAACTGATATACAATGCCTTAAGACCTCCTCAACCCTTTTTCATTCTATCTAGAAGTGGTTGTTTTTGTTTTTAACACCACCTAGCCTGATGTTTAGTTCCATTTGCACCTACAAGCCCAGCTTCTGAAAGGGAAGTGCTTGGGGTGGAGGAGGAGCATCGATGGAGTCCAGGATGGGGTGGGGTGAACCACTGAGACTTGGCTCATTTCTAATCTGGATGAACTTTAGGGTGGGGTCAACTCAGGGACTGACTAGGGGTGGGAGCTACTCTTTGGGCTGGGCTGGGAGATCTGAGGGGGAGGGACCTGAAGAAGGGAGCAGTCATTTGTTTCTCAGAACCTCCCCCACCCAGAAGGAAGGGGTAAGATGCTAATATTGGTAAAGTGCTCAAGGCCAAGTTGTTTTTCTTCTCAAACAGCAGAATTACAATCTGCCCAAAAACATGGCTCCCCTCCATGCTTCCTCTTTCCAGCTGTGATTCTGATTAGGTCCTGGCAGGATCAAAGATGCATGTGACTTGGTTTATCTAATATTTGTATTTCAGGCAGTGAGCATTTGGAGCTTGACTCCAGTACAAGGGAAATACTCTCTAAAGTTAAATCCTGCCAAGTGGGCCGATGTCAAAGAGTAACTTCCGAGCCAGGGCTTCAAAGTGGGTTAAGTGTGCCTTCGGCAATCTCCTACTTCCCATGTCAGTGCTCCTCTCTCCTGGACACAGCCCCCAAGCCCTATTCTACATCAACACCATTTCTCCTCCTGCTATCCATTTCTCCTGGACTTGAGTCTGGCTGTCTCTCTTCTCCAGCTCACTATGGTCTGGTTTTAGCCCCACTACCAAGGAATTAGAAATGTTCCCTTCCAAGTATCTCAGCCTTTCAATAACAGTATCATCCCAAACTGTTCTAAGAGGATTTTATACAGTAATAGGTATGGAGGCCTTTGCAAGGCTCTTAGTACCTCACATGGGGAAGTGCCCATCCTACCTGTAAACCCCCAACCACTTTCAGCAACAGTATAGATACCAACATTTCCTTCCTTTTTTTCCATGTACTTTAACTGGCTCCCTGAGACTTGGTCTGAGTACTGACACGGACACCCAATAAGCCAGCTGGTGACCACTCAAACCAGTCATTTCTCAAGGCTCCTCAGTGCTTCTCTCCTGATATCATCTTTTGTTTATCAGCTTTGGTCAGATATTAATTTTTGCTTAAACAAAATAGTTTTCTAATTCTTTCAACTCTAATCTATCTTCTTTATGGTACTGTTAGTCTCTGAAAATCTTTCCCTAGTTATGTTACTTAACGTCTCTAAATAATTTAACAGTTAAAACTTACTGAATGTTTACTGTGTGCTACATACACATGGCCTTTCATGTAGCTTCTCCCTTAGATCTAACAGTGCCTTTATAAGGTAGATACTGACTTAGCAACATCTCTAATTGCTTCAGCATTATTGGAATCAATCTCTCTAGCCTTCAGTTCCCTTTATGTCTCAAACATACCTGTGCCCTCTAGTCCCAATTGTATTGTTTAGTCCCTTTTCTATGCCACACATTCTATGCCATGGTCTCTTCTTGCCCAAGACAGATATTCAGGTATAGGACAGCACAAGTCAAGCACATCTAGACTGGCTCTTGCCAGTTTCCTCCCTCAGGTGTCACAGGAGGAGCTTACCATGTCAGGCTGACCCTGACTCTCCTCAGCCACAGAAACACACGTGTGAGACATTCAAGAAAAAAATGAGCCCCAAAGTGCCCTTCCCAAAGCTTTGGGAGAAGAGCTCCCAGAGGCAGTCCTTGGGGCTAGAGCCTGGGAACGTGCTTTGGCTACTCTTGATGGCGCCTAAGGAGCTTCTCCTGTCCCTGGTTCCACTGAGGTTGTGGACTAAAGACTTCTCAGGGGCTGACAGAGGCTCAGAGGAGAGTCCCCAAGGACTGTTCCTTGCCAGGCTGGGACACTCTGGCTCCACCCACAAGCTTGCTGTCTGCTAGGGACTGAGGGCTTATTCCCTGTGGGCTTTGGCTACCACGGGATCTGTCTCCAGTCACCAAGAGCCTCCTGGGATGCTGAATTCCACAGAAGTCTGGCCATTCTGGCGTCACTACCAAAGTTTGGCCTGTAGCCAGCCTGAGGCAGGAACTCGTGGTCAGCCTGAGTAGCAGAGTTTCTCTCAGGAAGCTGGTTGACTCAAACAGGTAAGAATGTGAAGTCCAGCGCCTGTGACCAGCTGCATACAAAAAAGGAAGGAGGAAAACAGCCTTAGCCTGCATTAGAAAAAAAGCTCCAAACAACCCTGGGCTTACAGAATGACTGTGAGCTCAGAAGGTGTCAGCCTGACACTGCTGCCAAGACTTGTGTCTTAGTAAGGGAGAGATACAGGTCCATTGCCTTCTTGCCTGATCAAGCCTCATGATAAAGCATTGCTGCCACTCTGGGCAGCTCTTTTAAGGGGTGAAGTGACAGGGTCTGTGGAGAGATAAAAGGTTGAAGATCTGGGAGCAGCATGTTTCTTCATGTGTCTTTGGACAAGTTATTTCATAACTGAATCTCAGTTTGTTTCCAAATGGTCTGACTGTGAGGACTAAATGAGGGAACCATGAAGTACCTAGTACTTAATAGACTGAAATCAGTACAGTATAAAAGTGAATCATGGCAAGTGCTGGCCTGGGAAGTAGTTCCCACCATGAAAACTGTTTAACCAGGACCTGGACAGACTTCTGGTCAATCAGAGACACTGTGCAGGGGACTCAAGTAGTTACAGGCAGATGACTTCTCTTCTGGCTCCAGGCTTCTATTAATTCTTTTGTGCATTTTTCAGTTCTTTAGATGCCTGAGATAAGAGATAAGCCCTTACTAGCAGTGCAGTCTTGAGCCCAGAAAGACCCTAGGGCTACTGGGCTTGAGCAGAAATATCCTGCAGGCACAGGCTTTGGGGGTTTGGTAAGGAGAGTATTCTGCTGCCATCCATAGAGGCTTACCAGGCTGATATCCTGCTCTGCTGGATCTATGGGGCTTTAGCAATCTAAAAGAGCCAAGGAACAGGACAGATGAATATCCCATGGAACAGGTGGTAATGTACTGAGACCCCTGGGGTCAACAGGCCCAGCACTCAGCTGTCAAGACATGAGGGCAAGTTTCCTCATACTGGCCACAAAGGCTGGTGTCTGTCTCTGTCTCTGTCTCTCTCCTCTCTGTCTCTCTAATCTCTGTCTCTCTGTCTCTGTCTCTGTCTCTGTGTCTCTCTGTCTCTGTCTCTCTGTCTCTCTGTCTCTCTCTCTCTCGCGCGTGTGTACATGGGCATGTTTGTGTATGTGTGCATAGAGGCCAGAGGTCAACCTTAGGTATCATTCCTCAGATGCTGCACACCGTCCACCTTGTTTGTCCTCTCTCTCTCTCTCTCTCTCTCTCTCTCTCTCTCTCCTCTCTCTTTCTTTCCCCCATGCTCTGACAGGAACCACAAAAAGTCATGGTACATAGAATTGCACAGAACTTCCTGAACTGGGGACCAGAAGATCCAGTTCTGCTTAGCAGCCAGGTGACTTTGGACAGGTCATTTGTGTTGTCTTTCCTGATAGGTGAACAAACAGAATTACTAGCCCAACATCTCACATTAGGGTTATAAGGCTTAAAACAATGAATGAGTTTTGTAAACTGTAAAGTGTTGCAAACTGAAAATGTTTCTGATCACCAAAGTTCTCAAACCTGTGTGTAAATGTAAGGAGACTGATATAGGTCAACATCACTGCTACTATTTAACTGAGAATAACTATTATCCGAAAGGAATAAATCTATAATGCTATAACTGCATGTATCAATGGAGAAGACATTGCTGAGTAGCTTCCTGTCTCTTGTGCGCAGTTGTTCTTGTACGCGGGATTCTGGCTGGACTATATCATTCCCTGTATGTATCACTGACTTAATTTCAGCAAGGTCCCTGCAGATGTGAAAAAGTAAGTTTAGGCAGAGTAAATAGCTCCAGAGGTGACTAAAGAGGAAATAACTGGCCTGGAAGAGAAACCAAGCCCATGGATATAGATCTGTGGGGTTTTGCCAAAGGTACTTTGCCATCCCATGGCTTTCAGTAGGCAGAGGAGCTCCTATCTGCATGAGTCCCCAACAGGATGGAAAGCCAAGGAAGGAAAGACATTGAGTGACTCAACTTTTCAGAATTGTTGGCTTGAGACCAGCTGCCCCCACCAAGGAGGAAGGCCTGTGCTTGCTCAGCATATCTGAGACAGGAAATCGGGAAAGGGTCCCAGGGTCTGGCCCTAGGAAAGGGGCCAGGCCAAGCTCCTTGCTGGCCATGCCACAGAACTATTCTGATCAGCTCCCTCAGGCCTCACTTCCCCGGTCTAGTACTCCAGGGAGAATGAAGCAGCAGGAAGGAATGTGGTCAGGAGGTTGTAGAGCAAAGGGGACAGCATGTTTTCAGCACCTTGAGACCTTTCCGGACTCACCCTTGCAGTTGCCACTGCCCACCTTCCTTCCTCTGCAAGGTATCCAGGGACGAGTTGCTGCTCCTTCCTTCCCCAAGGGAATAGCCACTCTGCAGGCAATGTTCATTGCCTGGACTGTGGTCCTCCCATAACCTGAGGACATCAGAAATGTCCCATGGGGGTCACAAGTCCTACGGGAGCTCTGAGGGTCAGGTCACCCTAGGTCAGAAAGGCAGCTTCAAGTGATTAAAGTGATTAAAGATGTCCCTGAAAGTAAAGAACTCCCAAAAATAGCCAGTTTCTCTTAATAGTCCATTAAGGGATCTAGTCACTAGTGGCTTTATCTGAACCTGCCCCAAATCGCCTCACATT